AGTAGAATCATAGAGCAGAATCATAGAATCATTAAGGTTGGAAGAGAGCTCCAAGACCATGAAGTCCAACCATCAACCCATCGCCACCCTGCCTACTAAACCGTGTCCCAAAAAGTAAGGACATTATGACTGGTAAAAATCCCCTGGGGTGCCCGCTGCTGGTCTGAATTATGGAGGTGAGCAGGTAACTCTGATGGGAGAGTTTGTGAGGTTTCTTTCTACTATGGTAGCAAATTATTTATTGTGAACTGCCCTGTGTGGTTGGTGGTGTGCCGGGGGGCTGGCGGGGCTGTCTGCCCCCTCCGCCCCGCAGCACCGGGGGGGGCTGGTGGCCACAGGGGAGTGCGGCCCCGATCCGTCCTGGGTGGGGGTGCGGAGGGGCTCTGAGGGGCACGGCACCGTCTCGTTTGCCCACCTTCCTTTTCTGTTTTGGTTCTGTGGCTAAGGTGCAAAAGGTATTTGCAAAAAACATTATTTCAGTTACATTTTGGTACTCCTTGGGAGCTGTTGTGATGTGAGGCTCTTCCCGCCATAGGAAGAGAGTGCGATTGCCGCTCAACAGTTCTTGAATGAGACTGAATGTTGGAGGCTGAAATGCTGCTTACAGGTGTCAAAAGCATTTCCAGAACAGAGATTGCACGTTCTTTCCTCATGCGATTTTTTTTTTTTTCCTTAAAACAACATTCTCATGGCAATATTGTAATGAACACTTGAATGTTATAGTCCAAAGTGAACATTTAATCCATATTTCTAGACACCAGCCTTAATGCATGTCTTCACTCAGAAAATCTACACATCAAAGGGATATGTATTTTATCTCCCTTTTATTAAACATGGGGGGATTAATACTCCACTCTGAAAGAGTGGTCTGGCTTTTTGGTTTGAAGCCACTGCTATTAATGAAGAGTAGGTTGTAAGTACCTGTATGCCACAGCTCTTATTGCATCACAATTCTGTACAGGCTCTTGATTCTTCTAATTCATTTCATGAAGCAGCTATGCTTTGATAATTCGTTAGCTCTGCTATTACCAGACCGGTAAGCGAGGTGTGAGTACCGCTGCAAGGTGATTCTTCAGCTGATTGTGTCTGAGACTCACAGGAAAAAAAAATACTCTTCCACTTCCCGCGGGGGGAGAAGGTGGGAACAGCACTGATGGATGTGTTGATAAAGGGTGTCAGAGCCGGTTTGCCTGGAGGGAGGATGCTGGGAAGCACAGAACATTGTTATTTTAATAAGCGTAAAAGAAGGATGAACCCAGCACCATGACGTGGCCAATTTTTCTGCTTTTACAGATGTATGAAGGGGTAGGGACCAAAGAAGTTGCTGTGGAAAGACGACCCTGGGAACTCAAATGTTTTAATGCCTATTTAGCCTGTTGTGGTCAGCATTCGGTAAAGAATACAGATTTGATGTTGTGGCTTAACGTTCCACGTAGCTCGTCTCCAGGCAGCCTTTCTCTACTCCAGAGGAGAAGTTATTTGCTTCTTTTTCTTCTCTCCTACCTGTACCTTCATGGCTGTTCCACTTACCATGAATCAGAGAAATGTTTGCATTAACAATTTGTTTTCTTTATACTGTTTAATTGATTGCTGTAAGTTCATGTTCAGAACAGGGATCTAATTCACTCTATTTTTCCTGGTTCAGACTGGGGGGGGAAAAAAGAGGCTAGCCTCATGGCTGAAATTTTTGAGTATGTTGGTAGGTGTCATAAAAACTCCTTTTGCAGAACAGTGCTTTATTTGTGGATTGTCAGAGTGTCACAGTTATGTCTTGGCTACAAGTCCTGAACACTATGGGCCATGAAGTCCTGAACCAAAGACTGTGCTTTCAGCTGAGCTTCGGGTGGAAACTGAGAGCTGTGACACTGAAGGCATATCCTGAATACTGATTGCTCCTCAGAGGTCTGCTCTTTTTCAATGATTTTTTTTTTTTCTTTTCTTTTTGAAAATGGAAAGGCAGCGCTTGAAATGTTGTGTTCCTTCAAGAACTTAGTAACTCATTTAAAAGTTGAAGGGTTTGTGGATACTGCTCGTTGCTGAGTCTTTAATGCACTACCTCGGAGACAGAAGCCGAGGCGTTCTGCATCTCGGTACGGTCTCTACAACAACGTAGGGCACCGCGCTCCATCGCCGGCCTTCGGGAGCGGAGTCCCCTAGGGCCGACCAGTCGCCTTGTAATCAAAATGATGATGAAATTGTTATGTATCTTAGTTTTCAGCATTGGGGTGATGGGAGCGAATCGGTTAACTACAAAACGCAACCACCAACGCTGCTGCCTTCTCTTCTGTACAGCCCTGCCCAGCTGAACACTAAGTTCAGGACAATGAGAACAGGATATGGTCTGTAGTTTTAAGGTCCTTATTAATGGAGCTGAAGCTCTAGGCACTGTGCACCTGTCAGGGGAAGAAGATGAAGGGTAATTCCGTGCAACGGACCAAGAAAGTTGGCTAGGACTACCGAGAGAGAGAGCCCAGTAGGCAGGAGGTAATTCTGGCAGGGGGAGATCGCGACCACCGACTCATTGACCACCTACCCAAATGATACCACCTACTCAAAAGAGAGCAACAGAAGTGAACAACTGAGTTTGAGCAGTAATTTACATAGGAAGCGAGAGAATTTGTACCAATCGTTAGAGAGAATGTTACTGATTATGTATGAATGTAAGGAATATGTATATATTTGTTATAGATATAACCTGACTGAAACAGGCGCTAGGTATGCACGTTAGGGGGAGCGATCCCCCGCGCATCCGGCGCCGTGAATAAAGAATGCCTGCCTTTTAACACTACCTTGGTGTTACGAGGTTTATTCCTCCCAATTTCGGTGACAACCTGGCCAGTCGCAGGAGCGGAGGGGCTCTCAAGAAACAGCCACAACCCAGGACCTTGCAATGGGTCCAGGGATGTTGGAGGAGGCCGGTGGTGATACCAAAAATTACAGCTTGTGGAAAACTCTCTAAGACTCCTCCTTGAAGTCTTAGAACGCAGATTCTTTATTCACGGCGCCGGGTGCATGGGGGATCTCTCCGACTGACGTGTGTGCCACACAACCAAAAGCATACCGTTCATATGGGACAAGGGTGCACATATTCATCATATTTCCTGGAAAAGGCAGTCTTGTGATAGTGGGTTCCCGGAATTCATTTACACGTTCTCCTCCCGGTCAGGCGTGCTCAGTGATTTGAGTCCGTGGACCTTGGGGTCCCCAGTGGTTGCTGTAGAGGGGGCTCTCTGTGCCCTTTCCATGCACTCTGAGCCTTTCTTCCACATATGGCATGAGTTGGCTCCCTGATGGGTTTGTCGCAGCCTGTTGTGGTATGTGCTGGTTTCAGTTAGCTATTGTGCACTTACCTTGGCTGCTGATGTTCTTAGTTCCCCTTATCTTAATGTTCAGGGTGTGGCTTAACGATCTTGTTTGAGGTCTGTTGATCTCGTGACAAAGAGATGCTATTTCTCACCTGTTCCCTGTGAGTTATATTTTACAGCTATCAGGCCGAACCTTGCAAAGAACGTGTAAGTTTTACATCCTGTATCACCAGCAGTGTGGCCAGCCGCGTCGGTGTCCTGTCTGTCCATCCGTGTCTGTGTGTCTCTGGGATATGCGTTTGGCTTTGCTGTTGCTTGACGTGCTGTTGCGAGCACGTCCCTCAGCCGGGGCAGAGACCCTGGGTCCCCAGGCACTGGGCTGGGCTCCAGTGGCCGGGCAGGTCTGTACTGGGTAGCACTGGTCTGTACTGGGCAGCACCAGACTTCAGCAGCTGTGCCGGAGGGTCCTGGGCTGGAGCATCTGGTGGAAGCAGCCACACTCCTAACATCCCTTTAATAGGAAAAATCACCATTACACTCGGGTTTTGCAATGTACAGTGAAGTCTTACTTGGGTGTCATTGGTTCCAGTGCAGCCAACACTTAAGTGTGAAATCCTGGGTGTAAATATCCCACTTTGTGCCAATCCCGTACCGCTGGGCCACGTTTTTGTGATGTTGACCTAAGTGGCCACAGATGGTGGTACTGCACCAGGCTCTGGCTGGAGGGTGACTGTTGAATGTGCAGCTTTGTTTATTCAAGATGTGCTCCTGGTTTTGGAGCTAAATCAGGAAGAGAACAGGAGGTGGAATTACCTTAATGACAGAGGTCTCTGAGTCTCCCAGCCTGTCACTGTACCTCGTGTCCCATCAGTTGGGAACTGGTGCTTCTGAGTTTGCATGCAATTTGCTGATCGAAGCTGTGGTCATCCTGCAGACTTCCCTGCTTGTAGAGAGTAATTAAAGTGCGAACGCTTCAGTTGCGTTGTGAATCTTGAGATTCCACATACTGGAAAAAAAATGAATAGGTCTTACCCATCTGCTGCCTCCAAAAACCTGATGCTTTTAGCTGTGTTCTTTGTTAACGACTGACTTTCCCACTCTTCATTAGATGTGATTTCAGCAGTCAATGGCTTTTTGCAGTGGCATGTAGTGGTACTTGGCAATACTGGCATTGCATTGGTTGGAAACTGCAGGTTCAAAGGGGATGTCATGGTTTTGTTTCGGTTGCAAGTGTTTATTAACTAGAAAAGCCGTCCTTTTGCCCTTGGCTTTGTATCTTCACTTCCCTGTCGGAGGTGTAATGTTACCTTCTGTGTTGCCATTCAGGTTAGGTCTGTACAGCAACAGCGTACCCATCTTATTTTCATTGATACTTTCCATTAAAGTATGTATGGTTACTGTTGGTTTAACTCTTGATTAAAGCAGAGTCGCTCTGCCAGAGGAAGTAGCACAGATTTGTATCTGTCACCCGTGAAACAGTAGGGGAGAACTCGGGCTGTTCTGGGCGGGGCAAAACTGTCTGAAATGAGTCTGCCTGAAGTTACGTAGGAGAATGTGTGTTAGGATGACTTGCCTTGCATAAAATGTTCTAATGAACTTTTTTTTGGTGTACTTTTTTGTTTACAGTTTTATTTGTTTTTTCTTTTTCTTCCTCAATGTTCCTGATGTTTATTATGTCTTTCTTTTATTTTGTAGAAAAAAACAGCAAGTGCTGATGTCAGCCAGCCCCCCAAGCCACAGGCAAGTGGAGCACCTTCTGCTGTTAAGGTAATGCATACTTAAGGAAATGGTCTCTTTTCAAAGTGAAGAGGGTATGATGTGACTTCATCCCCTGCAATGGGATAAAAAATGGGTTTTTTTGCCAGCATTCAGCAACACAGAGATGCTCTTCATGACTTGCTGGAAATTGTAGTGAACTGAAATGAAAGAGGAGCACAAGTCAGCAGAATGCCAGCATTGACTTCCTGAGGACATAGGCTTGGTAACATTCTCTCCTTTCAGGTGTTCTTTGTTAGTCTGCTCGTTACTTTGAAAAATCCTGGTCCCATCGATACCCGTGGCGAACTTCATGTGGCTTCTGGGGCCGTGGCTCTTTTTTCACCCGTAGATACTGTTCGTATGTTTGGACTCTGGCTACTCAGCGGGACCTGATGAGCTGAAAGGACCGATAACTGCCTTTGCTTTTGCCACCCCTGGAGCAGCTCAGTTGTTGAGGAAGTTAGTGTAAGAGGTGTTACAAGGACGACTCGCATGTTGGAGCCCAGTTGATACTCCGCGAAGAGAAGCGGGGATGTCAGTGAGCGTGCTCGGGTCTTGCAAAGGGTTGCAACAGGGTGTTCAAAACAGGCTTTCTGGTGGTGGTCACACGTGAACGGATGGCTGTAGTTGGTAATCACTGTTCAGTGTGTATTTGTAATGCGCCTCACTCAAAAGAGAGAAGCTGCAATATCTTCTGTTGAGGTCAAATAATAATTTGACAGTTCAGTAAGTTTGGTGGAATTTAAGAAGGTTTAACAGTGATTTGGCAACGTTCAGTAAACTTGATGGCAAGGTTCACCTTATTACTGTATGGAAGAAACACGCAAAGGAAAATTGAGTTAGAATCGAGTTAGAATTCTCACACTCGCACAGAGACCAGAGTCGCAAAAAGAGGGCCCTCCCATTGAGTCAGGAGGTTCAGAGTGGACCCCCTTGCTTTCTAAATTCCTTTTGGAGCCTAGGTGCTGCTGGGTCCAGTCTTAGTTTCAGGCTTGAACAATGGTTTATGTCTAATGGAATTACCCATGCTTATAATAATATTGCGTAAGTACATGGGTTAGTAGCATTTCATAGCAGTAATTCACCATGCTGTCGGTCACTTCCCAAGGATCTGTCTGCCTTGTGTAAGGAAGGGTCTCTCAGTCTCGGGTAAGGAATCTCTAACCTTGAGTGGCGTCCCTGCTCAAGGGGAGTGTCACCTATAGCATGCAGTCCAGCTGCCATTCCAGGACAGCTCAAAATGCGCCCGTCCTGATGGTAATACTTGTAGAGTAGTTGGCTGCTAGTCAACAGTGTAGGCAAGACAGAGGTCTTCATTTTAGGTCTGGTATCTTATTCTGTACTTTGGTTATCTTACACTTCTGAGTTTCAAAATCACCTCTTGAAATGTTTTTCAAGACACCTTCACTCCCTTGTACGTGCGCCAGGGACTTTTCCAGCTTGCCAGTTCACGCCCAGGACGTGAGGGTGGTTGCTCCTTAGTCAGCCTGAACCAAAGTGTGGTGAGGAGTCAGTTGAATCCCCCATGGTATTCCATATCTGGAGATGCCCCATTGTTTGAAAGATCCTATTGGCAGGAAGTGTTCCTGCTTTTGAATGGGATTTTTTATTTTCTTAATCGATACTCCTAAAGATACCTCTTTGCTACCCAAGCAATTATTTTTCCTTTCTACTCAGTGAAGGAGGACACAAGGATATAAATCCTGTCATCCCTTTCTTTCAATGCTTTTGTCTGTCACTAAAGACAGCCCAGCGTTTTTGTGGCTTTTCTTTCTGTTCCTTGTACTTTGCCAGGGCCTTTCCCCTGCTGGATGTGTCGTCCATGTGTAGTTCCGAGGACAGCTGCAGAGGGTGGGATGCTCTCGGAGATAATCTTGCTGCATATCAGTCACCAGCTGCGCAGTCCTGTGGAAGCCTACATCTCATTTGCTAACACATCTTCAAGTCTTTTTTTTTTTTTTCTGTGTGTGCTTTCTATTACAAGTGTATCTTTCACATTAAGCGTGCAAGGTACAGTTTCTGGTGATGCTATTGAGCCAAAGAACTGGAAGGTAGCATCATGAAAAAAAACATGACATAACGTAATTGCCAGGAATTGCTTTGTGTTAGGTTATGACAACTTAGGCTGTGTATTTTATTCAGTACTTGGTGTTTCTCCAGTTTCTGTGACATTCCGAGTATTTATTGGTAAAGATTATGTACTATGAAAATACTTGCCTCATGCTGTCTAATATTGACTTTTAATCAATAGCTATTTTAAGCTTAATCTTTTTAGTTCCCGCTCAGCCATGACTACCTTTCTTCAGTTTGGCTACACCTTCTCTTAATTACATCTTTTAATTTTAACAATCTCCTGCAATCCTGTAGTGTTATTTAGAATAGAACAAAACCCACTTCTGTTCTTGTGGTTTGTGCCACCCATACTTTCTTTAAGCCGTTTGGCTAGCTGCATCCTTCTCTGCCCTTCTTTTTCTCTTTGTCTCTAAAAATACTTATTCAAAAGAAAAATTTTGCAGGGATTTTTTTTTTTTACAGGAATTTTATAGGAAAGGAAGTATTTCTTGAAAAGGCAAGGCAGCCTTTTCTCTGTTGCTGCAAAAATAGACCAAATCTCTTAATGCAGTCAAAAATATTCCACCAGTTTTTAGACAGCTTTGCCAGGGCTGTTTCTTCCTTTAATTTTCTCTCTGCCGTAGCCTTGGTGTGTCCTGTGGGCAAAATCTCTTTCAGTTCCTTAATCACTTTGTTGGTCAGTAATACTTTTTGTTAATGCACCCAATCCCAGACAAATTTCTAACTTTGAAGGGGTAGGTGAGGTGGGGCAGTTAAGTTGCTCCAGCTAGAGCTGTTGATTTTTTTTTAACCTACTCTTGCCCTATGGTGAAACTGCTTGCTCTAAATTGAATAGCCAGAGGGTTTCTTGATGCCTCCATGTTAGTCCTAAGTCATTTTTGTTTCGGTTAGTACATAATAATAACTGATGGCTTATGTTCTGCTTGGGTCACCCGTATTGCTGCATTTAAGATATGGGAACTTGTGTGTCGTGAATGCTTGTCATGGCTTAATGCCTGGCTAATATGTGGGTACTTAATTGTACAGTGACGGTGTCCTGTAATGCGGACTACTCCTCAGAGCAAGCACTTACCTGTCTGGCTTCTTTTTCGTTGCGCTGTGTATCTGCACTGCCGTTCTTTGTGTCTTAATTTTATCCCCCTGCTCTTTATTAATAGGCTCACTCTGGGGTTCCTGGCACTGCAGGCACTATTAACTCACTGCTTCTGCTCAGTGTCGTCTTACAGGGGGTTTATTCGGGTGCATACGTGTCTGTGTGGTGTAAGGAGTAAATGTGGCCTCCCTTGTCGCCTCTCGTTTATATCTGTATGGCTCTTGTGTTGCCTGTGTTAAGGGCGCCTAGGAAGTTGAATCGGGAGCCTTGGTGTGCCCGGTACCTGTATGACTCAAATCTAAATGGATGGTTTAAGGATATTGAACTGAAACGAATGTTCTGACTTCTTTCTATCGATCACAGGCCTTTCTTTCGTTTTTGATGTGAAGTCCTGTTTGACTGTTATTTTGTACCAGGGTCTCTTCAGTAAGCACATGCCTTGTAGCATAAATGGAGTGAAAAGTTAAGATTCAGGTAAGGTTATGATCGTCAGGAATGTTTACTGGTTGCTCACGAGCAGCCTCTTCCCCGGGTACATGAACTGCCAGGGTGCACAGACCAGGAGGTCATCGCTACCGTGATTAGCAGGCAAGGGGAAAAACTGAACTAACCTCCTTCCTCTGCAGAAGGTGCCCTACCAGCGCTGCTGTGTTTCCTTTCACAGCCTTTTAAATTGTTTTTGCCAGTTCCATAGCCAACAGGAAAGCCAATTTCTAGCTCAGTGTTCAATCATAGCTATTAATAGAAGGCACTGATATTTGAACGCAGCTGGATCCAGCTCTCTTTCTGGGATCTTCGTGTTCTTATATGGTAATTCTATGGATACCAAATGAAGTTTTGCTGCTTTTTATGTAGCAGGTTTTTGGCACTGCTCTTAACGAGTTCTTAATCAGTAATAATTTTGTTGCTGCCTGCTACAGCTTAGTGAAGTGGGAATGTTTGTCCATATTACTGTCATGGACAATTCATTGAAGCAGGGCTGGAAGAATTCGGCAACAGTGGAAATTCAGTAAGAATTATTTTTATTTCTGACTTGACTGATCTTGAATATTTCCAGAGGAAGCTTCTTGATCTTTTAAGATTTAAGAAATTTAAGGTTAGTTACTTTCATCTGGCATCCAAATTAACACTGTTTTAAAGGGGGTTTCGATCTGCTTGTGCAACAGACAGGAAAACAAGAAGATAAAGAGCAGTTACTAAATATCTTTGAGTAAAGTCACTCCTACTTCTGGAAGTTCTGTCACAAGTTTATCTAGATTATCATCAAAAGTG